TGTGGGGGGGGGTCAGTGTGTGTTTTGTCACACATGCAGTGTCTATTGAGCAGAAAATATTCTTGAAGCCAGATGGTACTAAGAAGAGTCAATTTCAAACTCTATTTTCTTGGTGTACTCATGTTTCATGCCTACTTGAAACCAGTTCAGATGGATTAAATGTTGCTTAGGGAAGCACTAAATGTTGGAAAGAGAGAAAAATTGCCCACCTCTAATATTAATCATTTCTACGACCATAAATGACCCCAAACTACTCTGATAGCACAGGGAGAGATAATATACATTTCCTATAAATCTTGCTTTGCAATTTGTGTAATTCTTTTTACTTGGAGGGTAAGATAGTACAATACAGAAGAAAAGGCACATTTTATAATACGAGACGCCAAAGAGCCATAGTATTTGTTTAGCATAGCACCCATTTTTATATTTATAAAAACAAACCCGTATAGCGTTATAGTACATAGCAAAGTACAGTAGAACCCTGCTGATGCTCTTATTTCAAGATGCATGCAGTCTAAAGAGAAATTGTTGCAAACAGATCCACATTTACGTAATTATGTGGACGAGGGCTATAGCTATAAGAGGCAGCTGGCGTTGCGTAGCATGAAGTCTAGTACGGAGTAAGTGCAGTCAGTGTGCTTCAGACCTCTCGCGGTCTCGGAGTGTTGATAGAAGCAAGGATTGCATAGTACAAATGGAGAGCACACTATCTCAGACACAAAGTCCCAGGCTTGATTTGAACCAGCACAATTGGTCCACTGACCTGACAATGAGTTCGATTTGATATTTTTGAATAAACTTTTCAAATTATCACAGTCTGTTAGAAAACAGAAACCACCATTGGATTGTATGGGAATTTTCATTGATAAATAATTTGAAAGGTTTTTCTAACAGGTTGTGATACTAAGTTTATCCAACAGTATCAAGAGATCCATGTAATTGGGGCGGTGCCTTTGGGTAATCCCTGTTCGTTTCGCGATCTACAAGATTAAGGCGGTAGCTGTTACCTGAAGTTGTGTGGAGTAACTCAGAAATGTAGCCACTTGCTGGACTTCATCGCCAACTGGATTTGTTTCAACAAGGATGATCACGGGTGGAGTTTAAGGATGTTGAAAGTCAGGTAAACCAGAGCTCTCTCTCCAATGTAGCCTTGCCCAGGAGTGGACACACCAAATTTGAACACCACCTGAAAGGCCTTTGGGCTCTGCAAGGTTTCTCAATACCCACAGACTCCTCCATGATTCACACAAACAACCAGCTTAGGTGTCCAGCTCAGATACTAAATATTTTCCCTTATGTAGCTTAAAAGACTTATTATTTACAACAGTGAGGGCTGGGATGAGGACACAGATAGAGGTAGTCATGGTGTACTGGAGTAGTAGCATGAATGGCACCTAGGCTAGAGATTACCTGCCGCAGCACAGGTAGGTTAGAATTATGCTAAAGAAGTTTGTAGTATGTACAGAAATGTCCTCAAATTGTCACCAGCTAGACTCAAATTTCAGGCCAAAATTGTAAATCCTTTTGAATAATGGAAGAGCTTGCTCTGCCTGCACCTGTACGCCATGGCTGCCAGGCCCCAACCCTATCAGTATTTGTTACTCTTACGAAAAATATTGGTTAAAATCGGATTGATGATGTTCTTAGTTAAAGTGAGAACTGTGAAGAACTGCAAATTATAGGAAAAACTAGTGAATCCGCAAAAATAGCTGTTGAACATTTTTTTCAGTTTAGTTATTTATTTTGTGAGTTCTTAAGAATTCTTAGCATAGTGATTAATGTAAATCGGAGTAAGCATCTTAACCTCTCATCCTGCCCACACCGGCTTCCCCTCTCATACTGCCCACACCGGCTTCCCTTCTCATACTGCCCACACCGGCTTCCCCTCTCACACTGCCCACACCGGCTTCCCTTCTCATACTGCCCACACCGGCTTCCCTTCTCATACTGCCCACACCGGCTTCACCTCTCATACTGCCCACACCGGCTTCCCTTCTCATACTGCCCACACCTGTATATCCTCCCACAATCCCTCACACCTGTATATCTTCCCACAATCCCTCACACCTGTATATCCTCCCACAATCCCTCACACCTGTATATCCTCCCACAATCCCTCACACCTGTATATCCTCCCACAATCCCTCACACCTGTATATCCTCCCACAATCCCTCACACCTGTATATCCTCCCACAATCCCTCACACCTGTATATCCTCCCACAATCCCTCACACCTGTTTATCCTCCCACAATCCCTCACACCTGTTTATCCTCCCACAATCCCTCACACATTTATATCCTCCCACAATCCCTCACACCTGTATATCCTCCCGCAATCCCTCACACCTGTATATCCTCCCATAATCCCTCACACCTGTATATCCTCCCATAATCCCTCACACCTGTATATCCTCCCATAATCCCTCACACCTGTATATCCTCCCACAATCCCTCACACCTGTATATCCTCCCATAATTCCTCACACCTGTTTATCCTCCCATAATCCCTTACACCCGTATATCCTCCCACAATCCCTCACACCTGTATATCCTCCCACAATCCCTCACACCTGTTTATCCTCCCATAATCCCTCACACCTGTATATCCTCCCACAATCCCTCACACCTGTTTATCCTCCCATACTCCCTCACACCTGTATATCCTCCCACAATCCCTCACACCTGTTTATCCTCCCACAATCCCTCACACCTGTATATCCTCCCACAATCCCTCACACCTGTATATCCTCCCACAATCCCTCACACCTGTATATCCTCCCACAATCCCTCACACCTGTATATCCTCCCACAATCCCTCACACCTGTATATCCTCCCACAATCCCTCACACCTGTATATCCTCCCACAATCCCTCACACCTGTATATCCTCCC